GCAAGTTTGATTCTCAAGATATGGCTTTGATTCTGTGGTTCTAGGTGCGACTGTGGTTCCATACACTTAGGAAGAGAAAATTTTCTCTTGGTTATAGCATATATCCGGTGATTCTGTTGTGATTAGGGCTTGTGAGCAATTTGCCCCAAATTCGACTCCAACTAGGGTTCAGAGTTCTTACTTTCTTTGTTATTTTGAGTATGCATGTGATATATTCTTTCCTTCTTTGTGTTTGATTGATAATTTTCCATCTTTGTCTGCTCAATTTGAACACTATATAAACCCCTTTCCCGTTCCCTTTCTAGGTCTTAATGATTATTACTTAACTACTATTGTTACTCTCCCACTCTCACTCATTCCGCTATTCTAAACTTGAGACCTTGGCCGGATGAAAGCCAAGGCCACCAGAATTTGATTGGTGCTCTTTTCTCAGTGCGAGCACTGTCGAGGTTCTCTTGAAACCCTTGGGAACTCTGACGCACTAGGATTTTGGGGTTTTGCTGCTCTTTTTGCTACTGACGATTGGAGTACTATTGAGATTGTTCTTCTTATTTTTCCTGTTTGTTAATTATGCAACTAGTAAGTCTTTTGGCATTAGAAATTTTATTCTATTTTGTTCGTATATATGCTTTGCGCCACTGAAACTTTTATGAATCAATGTCCTACTATTCCATCTTGTGGTAAACTGACCTATGCCTAGAACTTGTCTTTCTGCTGAAGTTATCTGTGTTAACTTATTGGTGTATCCATGAATCATGTGATTTCTATGTGCTAATACTACCTGAACTGGTGAGTAACAGAATGTGCTTCCTCCATCTTGTAAATTGAAATGTGTACTCACTAGTTTGTGCTAATTCTTTAGTGTTGCCTAAGGCTTTTAGAGCCTATCTCAATATTCTCCCCTAAATGAAATCAGCTGGTGTTAGCTTAAACCTATGCCTCCCCAATTGATCCCAATCGACATGCCTCTCGAACTCTTGTAATGTTGTGATCGTGTTCAACATTGCTAAATTCTTCCTCCTATTGAATAATTGTTCAATCATGAACCTATATTGTTAGTTTTCCTGTTAAACTTACCATGTTTGGACTAGCTCCAATAATTCTCCTAGGTTTCATGTTCAAACCCTTGTTTAAGAGTGCCTCAGGCTAGTCCTGGCCATGTTTGTTTGAAACCTCATTGAGAATAGTTTTGCAATCTCTTGATAGTCAATCCTGGCACCTTATCTTCTAACATGCAAGTACAAATATGTCTTATGTGATCCCTACCAATATGTCATATAATCCTGTCTCTATGTCCTAATGGGATTTGATATTAGTAGGTTTTAGAGTGGTTTAATTAATTGCCATGTGTAGTTCATTAATTTGTGTGGTTAAGTTGTTCATCTGCAATTCCTGGGTAAGTGAGTCCTCCATTCAGGCCTAGTATGGGTCTGTGTATAAGTTTGAGTCATGCAATTAATACACTCTAATATTTTGGGGTGTACATGGATCTGGGTTTGCTATTTGTGTAACGAATAAGTTTACTGAAGGCCTCGACGTTGCTGGGTTATTCTCCCTTGGGCCTGCTCTGTTTATTAGGTCTATACTCGTTTTAGTTTGTAATATTTAAGCATGTATTCTTTTATTTTGGGTCTGTAATAATTTGTAAATAAATTATTGGGGAGTTAGTGATATTGGGGGGAATATGTGTACTTTGTTCTTGCTTAAGAAGGTAGAAAACATGCCTATAGGGTCTAAATAATTTATTTGCTATCTTGTTTGACATGCTTTATTTATATACACTGATAGAAAGCATGCATATATTAACCCAAGCACTTCACTTGCTCAACATATCCTATTCCTTAAGAGTGAAATATAATAGTGTCAAATTCAACATAGCAGTCTTGCACCTATTATGTCAAAACCCATATTCTTCGTATTGATAGTAATCATTCGCTCTACTATCTAGTTATATGTGATCAATTGTTAATTGCTTTAATTTTAATAGTTGATTATAGTCCATAATCATTCCAATCAAAGTTTTATTCATTCTGTATAGTATTTAAGCTGAAACTACATGAACATTGTTTAAATCCAATCCTTGTGGAGACAATAATTAAACCATACTATCTTTGGCTAGCAAGCATTAATTTAATATTTTGGCACCGTTGTCAGGGATTGGTAATCAATACTGTTCAAAATAGTTTTTGATGCTAATTCAGGAATTTATTTTTATTATTCATGATTCTTTTATCTGCGTGTAGGCAATATATTAAGTTTGGTGGCGTATGACTTGATCCTCTTCCAAGGAATTGGTGCCATACGACCCAGAATTGGACAAGCACATGCGACAGTTAACAAAGGAGAAGGAATCAAGTGGATCATTCTTGGGTCATACTTCGACTGAAGATAAAATGGTAAACAACAAGAATGATAGGGTAGACGTAGCTGCAAGTGAGGTAGCACAACAGAGAGGACAAGTTGCACGAATGGCAGCTGAAGGAGCCCTTAGAGCTACTGATGAAACTCTCGAAGAAGATAGGGGTCGAAGATTCAATCTAAATCGAGCCCTGGTTGAAGACCAATTCGAAAATATGGCTCCAAGGCTCGGAGAGCATTAGGTGACTATGCCGGACCAGTCTACAATTAGTGACATTCAAGTGTCAGACCTCCACCTGTAGCAGCAAATAATTTTGAGTTGAAGCAAGGCTTGCTTCAAACCATTCGGAACAGTTGTTTCTTGATAGGGAAGGAGAATGAACATCCTAACACTCACTTGATGGACTTTGAGGAAATCACGAACACTTTGCAGTGAAATGGAGTATCAAAAGATGTGGTCTACTTAAAGTTATTCCCCTTTTCACTGAAGGAGGACGCAAAAGCACTGGCTTCGAAGCTTACCAACAGGGTTGATCAGGAAATGTGAAGATATGACTGAAATATTTCTTGACAAGTACTTCTCAGCTACAAAAACAGTGAAATTTAGAAGGAAACCCCATAAGTTTTGCCAGAATGACACTGAAATGGTCTCCGAAGCTTGGATGCAACTCCACGTCGAACTCTAAGTACTGCAGTTCGATGACCCTTGATGAAGAAAACTCCTGAGGAGGTTGTTGCAATTCTTAATGAGCACTCTAAAGATAGAAGAAAATCAATTGGAGTTCACTAGATAGACTCCAACACAATAGTGAAAGCCCAGCTAGACACCATGTCCAAAGAGATAAGAAAGTTGACCTTAGACAAGGTCTAGATCCAGCCACCATTAGTTTGTGACTTTTGTGGAATGTGTCATCCAGTGCATGAGTGCAGGCCTCAACTACAGATGAAATGGTAAATGTTGTGGAAAGCTTTAATAGAGGCAACTACCAAAATGGTAATAATTTTAACTCCATGGGGCAGAGGCACCCAGGTTTTTGTGGAGTTCACTAAGCGCTAGTCTGAACTCATGGCACAGCTATCCGAGAACAGGTCACAACCATTCAAAACTTGGAAAGACAGGTGGGGCAACTGTCTAATCTATTATCTGAGAGGGTTCTAGGAACTCTCCCTGCTGCTAATAAGAGGAATCCAAAAGAAATAATAAATGTGATGTCCTTGAGAATTGGGAAAGTATTGAAGGACTCCATAGCAAAAAAAAAGTGTGAGTTGATTGAAAGAAAAGTGGGGATTGTGGAGGAGCAAAAAAATTACGACAATCAAGAAGGTGAAGTAAGGGTAGATCGAGATGATGATCTGAAGAAGAAGAGGGGGGGGGGGGAGACTAGAGCTCTAGAAAAGAAGAAGGATGGAATCCCTATTTCTACCCAAGCCGCCAATTTCTTCCATGAAAATACTAGATTTTAGATTGAAATTTTATGAAATGTAATGGAAGATTGAAAGAAAATAGGTTAGAATCACTTACCAATGAATTGGGGAAGAAGGTCTCTTGGGAAAATCGCCTCTAGGGTTCTCTAGGTTTGAAATTTTGAAAGAAGGAGAGAAATCTCGTCTTTTCCCATCTTAAGTTCAGGCGCAGATGTCGCAATTGCGACCTGGGGTTCGCAATTGCAAATCCCCCAAATGCGATAAATCCTTCACAATTGCGGAGGCCCCCCATTTCTGCTTCCACCGCAATTGCGATGGTTTGTTCGCAATTGCGAACTTGAACTCCTCGCAATTGTGATCATTTTGATCGCAAATGCGAACACTACTCCCCCAGGACTACTTCGCAATTGCGAAGAAATTATTCGCAATTACAAACCATTGGTGCCCAGCTATTCTTCGCAATTGCAAGGAAATAGCTCGCAAATGCGAACCTGATAGGAAGTTTTCCATATCGCAAATGCGAAGCCTGACCTCGCAATTGTGAGGTTTGAGGCCTTCACCAGAAACTGAAGAACGCCAGCTATTTCTAAGTCCAAACTCACTCCGCGGCCTATCCGAAACTCACCTGAGCCCTCGGGGCTCCTAATCAAACATGCACACAAGTCCATAACCATCATATGAACTTGCTCGCGCGATCAAATTGCCAAAATAACACCTAGAACTATGAATCGGACACCAAATCAAATGAAACTTAAGAACTTCTGTTTTAACAACCGGACATCTGAATCACGTCAAACCAACTCCACTACTCACCAAAATTTGCAGACAAGTCATAAATATAGTAATGGACATATACCGAGTTTCGGAACCCAAATACGGACCTGGTATCAACAAAGTCAAACATTGGTTAAGCCTTTAAACTTCAAATTTTGATAGAAATCGATAACTCGCGCTAGGGACCTCCGAATTCGATTCCGGGCATACGCCCAAGTCCCAATTCACGAGAAGGATATCCCTTTTCATTGGGATCCGTCATGTCAAAAGCTTTTGAAAGCATAAAAAAATACTTGCTGAATCCACCTGTATTAGGGGCGCCAATGCTTGGGAAGCCATTGATACTCTACATCACGGCACAGGAATGTTCACTGTGAGTACTACTTGCTCAAGAGAATGAGGAAGGAAAGGAACAAGCCTTGTACTACCTTAGCCGAACTTTGATGGGAGTTGAGATGAACTATACGCCTGTTGAGAAAATATGCTTAGCGTTACTTTATGCAATAAAGAAGCTAAGGCATTATTTTGAAGCATACACCATCAAACTCATCTCTCGAGCAGATCCCGTGAAGTTCGTGATGACTCGACCTGTTCTTTTTGGATGCCTAGAAAGATGGTCCATATTGTTTAACCAATATGAGATCACATACACACCTCAAAAAGCTGTGAAAGGACAAGCACTAGCCAATTTTCTGGCTGATCACCCTCTTTCGGTAGAGTGGGAGCTTTCAGATGAGTTTCCAGATAAAGACGTTTTGTTCATCGAAGAGTTTCCACCATGGACAATGTTCTTTGATGGATCTACACATCGTAACGGTGCGGGAGAAGGAGTTTTGTTGATCTCTCCAGAAAGACAAGTCTTGCCATTCTTCTTTGTTTTAGGTGAAACATGTTCCAACAATGCCGCAGAGTACCAAGCTTTGATCGCCGGTCTCGAAATGGCATTAGACATGAAGATTCTACAATTGGAGATCTACGACGACTCTAAGCTTATCATCAACCAAGTGTTGGGGAGTTACGAGGTAAAGAAGGAAGATCTCTTTCCATACCACCAATATGCTTCTTGTTTACTCGAAAGATTTGACCAAGTGTTCTTCCACGTCCCAAGAGAAGAAAATTGCATGGCTGTTGCTTTGGCTAACTTGGCCACGACGATGGCACTTGGAGAGAATGAGTCAACAAAGGTACATATGTGTCATCGATGGTTCATTCCTACACTTCTTGATCTTCAAATCAACGAAAGTCACATTGATAGAATACCTTGAACATAGAAAGTTGCCTGAGGATCCGCGACAAAGAATAGATGTCAAGCGGAGGGCACCACGATTCATCTTCTACAAGGGGACATTATTTCGTCACTCCTTTGAAGAAGGACTATTCTAGTGATGTCTTGACAAAGAAGAAACCCACCAAGCGATGGAGGAAGCACATTCTGGCTCATATGGAGCACACCAATCTGGTCCAAAACTCCATTTCCGTATCAAGAGGATGGGCTACTACTGGACGACAATGGTGAAGGATTGTGTGGATCATGCCAAAAGATGTCAAGCGTGTCAATTTCATGCCAACTACATCCACCAACCTACAGAGACTCTTCATCCAACTGTAGCTTCATGGCCTTCTGCTGCATAGGGACTTGATGTTGTTGGACTACTTCCAAAGTCATCAAAGGGACAAATGTACATATTGGCTGCTACGGAGTACTTCTCTAAATGGGCTGAAGCTGTTCCACTCAAGGAGGTGAAAAAGGAAACCGCTGTCGATTTTATCAAGTCATATATAGTTTTTAGGTATGGCATACCAAGGCACATAATCAATGATAATGGGACGCCATTTGATGTATTAGTTATACATAGGTTGAAAAAGTATACCAAACAAGGTTTTACTAATATACAAAGCTAATGCATGCATTATTTTCTCTAATGCACTCTACCAAACGACCTCTTAGTCCCTAAATGAGAGCTTAAGCTTTAGAATTTGGACCGTAGTCGAAACAGTGTGAAGATAGCTTCGAAATGGAATTCCGTCGATTCCGTTAGCTCCGTTGGTCGATTTCGGGCTTAGGGGCGTGTCCGCATTGTGGTTTGGAGGTCCGTAGCTTATTTAGGCTTGAAATGCCGAAAGTTGAAATTTTGAAGTTTTCGGATCGATAGTGAAATCTTGATATCGGGGTCGTAATCCGATTTCGGAAGTTGGGATAGGTCCTTAGTGTTCAATGTGACTTGTGTGCAAAATATGGGGTCAATCGGACATGGTTTGGTTGGTTTCGACATCGGTTGTAGAATTTTGGAATTTCAAGTTCATTAAATTTGGATTGGAGGGTGATTCATGGTTTTAGCATTGTTTGACGTGATTTGAGGGCTTGACTGAGTTCGTATGATGTTTTAGGATTGGTTGGTGTGTTTGGTTGAGGTCCCGGGGGCCTCGGGTGAGTTTCGGATGCTTAACGGAGTTGGGTGCGGTGCCGCACAAGCGGCTTGGTTACCGCAGAAGCGAGGTTGGCCTTGTGCTTCAGGGCCCGCAGATGCGGCTGGGAAACCGCATATGTTGAATCGCAAATGCGGCCCAGTGGCCACAGATGTGGCCCCAACCTGGATAAGTTGTTTTTGCACTTGCGATGCTTTTTACGCAAGTGCGGGACCGCAGGTGCGTTCCCATGACCGCAGAAGCGGAAATCGATGGGCAGAAAAGAGTGAAATCGAGGGTTTGAGTTCATAACTTCAAAAATTGATTTAGATCTTGGTAGAAGGCGATTTCTTGAGAGAATTTGAAGTAGAACTATTGGATAACGAATTCTATCTCTAATTTGGTTCTAATACATTAATCTATTATTGTTTTTACACATCTATTCTAAGAATTTGAGTGGAAGAATGGGGATTTGGGGGAAAAGTTCCCCAACCGAGTTTTTGGGTTTTGATCGGGTTTTAGTTGTCGGAATTGAGTAATTTTTGGACGAGTGATCTCGTGAGTGAATGGGTGTTCTAAATTGGTAACTTTTACCCGATTCTGAGACGTGGGCTCGAGGACGATTTTTGGGCGTTTTCTATTTTCTTTCCTTAGCTTCGATTTCATTAGCAAATTTAGTTGTTTTTAGTTATATTTACGTTATGAAATTGATTTGATTAGATTTGGTCCACTCGGAGTTGGATACTTGTGCAAGAGCGTGATTTTAGATTTGATTTGAGCTTGGTTCGAGGTAAGTGGCTTGCCTAACCTTGTGTGGGGGAAACTCCCCTTAGGATTTTGGTACTGTTGTTATATGAATGCCTTGTACGTGAGGTGACGAGTGCGTACATGTGCTAATTGTTGAAAAACCCTGTTTCATTAAGTAAATATCTGTGTTTTTCCTTTAATTGAGTAATATTAATATTTGAGGCCTCTTGTGTTGTTTAGGAAAGCATGCTTATGTGACTTAACTGTCTTAACTGCTTTAACTGTTTTACTTGAATTCTGTGTAGCATTTTTAGGGTAGAATTACCTGTTTTCTTGATACGAACTTGTATGGGACGGTAAATTTCCTTGTTGAGACTGTTGTGCATTTACTTTGGGACTACGGGATGGTATCCCGATAGATCCTCCTGTACTGGATATTTATTTTTTGGGACTACGGATCGGTATTCTGGGATATCCCCCTGCACATTTATGATTTGGACTACGGGACGGTATCCCGGGAGATCCTCTGCACATTTACGTTTGGGACTACGGGACGTTATCCTGGGAGATCCCCTGTTGCTTTTCTCTGTGTACTATGTTATTTCTTTCAATGATTTCATCTTTATTGACTGTTAGTAGTTCAATTATACTGTTACATTTCTTACTGTTTTTACCCTGTTATATATATATGACCGCTAGGGCCCTGACCTTCCTCTTCACTACTCGACCGAGGCTAGGCTTGGCACTTACTGGGTACCGCCCGGTGTACTCATGCCCTTCCTGCACATGATTTTCGTGTGCAGATCCACGTTCTTTTGCTCAGCCATACTATCCGTGAGGCGAGGCGATCCAGAAACTTCGATGTATATCTGCCGCGTCCGCAGACCTAGAAGTCCCTCTCTATTCTCCCTTTAGTTATAGACTTCTTGTATTTTCTTTCGTTTAGACTTCTGGAGTTAGAACACTATGTATTTATTTATTAGCTTGTGATTCATGAGATTCCGGGTTATTGGAATGTTATTATTGGCCGAAAGTGTTATTATTGTATATGCCAAGCGTCATTCCAAACACTTTATATATATTTCCCTGTTAGTTGGCTAGTTTTGTACTTTTAATTCTTTTTCCGCTAATTGTTAGGCTTACCTAGTCATAGAGACTTCAGCTGCGCCAACTAGATTCCAACTCTTCCGTTAACCATCCAAATTCATCCAGCGGCCCTCAGGACCTCAACCAAAAATACCAACAAGTCACATATCACCATTCAAACTTATTCAAACCTTCGGAACAACTCAAAGCAACATCAAAACACCAAATCACCCTTGAATTCAAGCCTAAGAACTCCTAAACTTCTGAATTCCGCAAACGATGTTGAAACCTACCAAATGACCTCCGAATGACCTGAAATTTTGCCCACACATCAAATGACTCTACGGACCTACTCCAATTTCCAGAATTTCATTCCGACACCGATATCAAAATTACCACTACCGATCGAGAAATACCAAATTTCCAATTTTGCCAATTCAAGCCTAAATCTACCACGGACCTCCAAATCACATTCCGGACGTGCTCCCTAGTCTAAAATCACCTAACTGAGCTAACCGAACCATCAGAATTCACATCCGAGATCATTTACACATAAGTCAACATCCAGTTGACTTTTCCAACTAAAGCCTACTCAAAAGAGACTTAGTGTCTCAATTCATTCCAAAACTACTCCGAACCCGAACCAACCAATACGATACGATGAAATGAAGTTGAAGAACACATAAACAAGAAAAATGGGGGAAACGGGGCTATAACTCATGAAACGACCAGCCGGGTCGTTACACCTCCTCAACCAGAGTATATATATAATGGACCTTACCAAGTATGTAGTCACAATTCAAATTCGGAAACTCGTAGGTTCACTGGTTTCTTGTCAAATATTACGCATGATTCCATGAGTGTATTTTATAGAAATGCCGAGGCGTACGGCACGATCCCATCATATTGTGTGCATTGTCGAGGGTTGAAAGACACAAACCATAGATGCATTTACGAGGCGAAGTGCCCGCTCCCATGAGAGTGTGGTACATAATCCTACTAAGGCGAACGACCCGATCCCATTAGATTAAGAAGCTTTAACGGGTCCTTGACCCCACTCACGAATAAATGTGTGAGTTATAAATTTGTAAGGAAAACCTTCCAATGAAAACGCATATCGCGGGAGAAATTCGTAAGAGGAGCACAATAATTCTTTGGCCAATCATGAAGCTCGTTAAGTTTCTACAATAGCAAGTCTATCTCTCTACGCAAGTCTAGTCTCAAGTTGTACGTAAAATAAAGGAATGTAATAAAAAAGGAACAACTCAAATACTACAGTTATAGCATGGCGTGAACCTAAGTCTACCCGGACATATCATGAATCTAGCTACGTACGGACTCTCGTCACCTCGTGCGTACGTAGCCCCCAATACAATTAGCACAAATACAACACATCATCTAGGGGTAGTTTCCCCCTCACAGAGTTAGACAGGAGACTTACCTCGCTCCGAAGTTCCATAATCGGCTCTGACACCACTCTAACACCTCAAACCGACGCTCCAAAACTAGTCAACAATATGCAAACCAATAAAAATATACCATAATACTCCTAACAAATCAATTCATAACAATTCCTAACTTCGCTCGAAAAGTCAATAAAATCAACCCTCGGGCCCACGTGCCCAAATTCCGAAAATTTCTGAAGATAAACTTTATCCATAACACTATGAACTCAAATATATGATTTATTCCCAATTCTATGTCCAATTTCGTGGTCAAAATCCAAAATACTAAATTCTAGGTTTTCTACCAAAATCCCAAATTTCTACTAATTTATGTACCCTATCCGTGTATAATTCATGTATTTAACTTACAATGAGAAGAAATCACTTACCCCATAATAGATGATGAAGACGACACTCCAAAATTGCTCCAAGGTCGGCTCTCATGGAAGAAAATGAGCAAAATCCCGCTTTTAAAAGAACATCTTTGCCCAGATGACTTCCGCTTCTGCGATCAGCTTGGCCGCTTCTACGACGTCTCTTTTGCGGCGAAATCCACATTTCTGTGAAGTCATTCCCAACGG